TATTACTGAAAGTTCCTGTTGTGATTTATTCAGATATTCTCCAAATATTTGATAATATTACTCCTCTCAGTCATGGAGCAACGTTCCTGGCTGAATATATCAGCTTTCCCTCCCCTCCCCCACTCTATTACTCTCTCAATGGTAGGACATTATGTTTTGCTTTCAGTAGCACAGAACTGAAGCACATAGGACATTCTGATTCTACTTCTACCACTAGATACCTTCATGAACTAGGGGGAAAAAAAATCATTGAAAGCCCCTGACTTATTTCACTATGAGGCTAATTCAAGTTCAATGCTAATATATAAGTTAATTCAAGTTATAATGCTAATACATGATTTCAAAGGTTCCTTGAAGTGCTATTACAACCAGATGCACAACATAATCAGTGTTCTCTGAAAAGTATAATCCATTGTGATATCATTTTACTCACCTAAATATCAATACAATTCCTTTGCTCACTTAAGTATATAATGTCTTAAAGAGACCCCTTACCTCCACATCTTTTCTTTCCTAAATATACATACATACATATACATTTAGGAACTGTCCGGGCGTGCTTACGGCGGAGGCACCGTCCTCCATTACAAGATGGCGCTGGGACGCCTGCCAAGCCCAGAATGCGCGTGATCGCAGGAGAGCCGCCAAGGAGGAAATAAGCACCATTGGACACCAGTAGGCTGGGGTAGGAGGAGGGGCACTTCTGATTTGCTAATCCACTCTCTTGATGTAGCCTGATTGGTCGCTGGGAATGATAAATAGCGCTGCACAACAGCAATAAGCAGCAGTGGCGTGAGAACTAGTGTATCTTGTCGTTTCTGCAGGTCGGGAACGACAAGGAACTATACACACACACACACACACACACACATATATATACACACATACATATACATACATATACATATATATACACACACACATATATATATACATACATACATACACACCACACACACAGTATTACTAAGATGTGCTGACTTCCACTTCCCTCCTATCTAGCATTCACAGCAAACAAGCAAACAAATATTCTAGAGGCTAACATTTATTGCCAAAATATCTTCTTCCCTTTACTTTCATTCCTCCAATCTCCCCTCCATTTCTCCTTCTTTTATTCCGTCATCTTTCACCATTCCATTGCATACATTCCCCAGTTCCTTTTTTATTTTCTCTAAATACTTTGGCTAATTTTCCACATCCTTCAGTTTTCTTAATTTTGTTGATGCCTACCAATGATTGCACTCAGTTCAGAAAGCTCATTAACTAATTCCCTTAATGTCTTCATGTGGCAAGCACATTAACCTACTAAGTCATTCTGTATGTGCTTGATTGCCTGAGTTTTGTAGGCCCTGGTGGCTCTTTCGGTCAATAGCTATATCGTTGTTCTTCCCCATCATCCCTAATTGAAAGCACACTGCTCCTTGCTTTCTGCTATAGCTGACTACTTGCGATTGCTTGGCAAATTTTCAGTCTGTCTGATCCTTCCCCCTTGACTGATTAGTTTTATTTATTTACCCACATTTTCAAAATTGTGGCTTTGGCACACCTGCCTTAGGGTAAGAGCACACAATCACATAAAAGGAAATACACAAAGCATGGTGATTACACAATTACAGTTTTAAGTAGTGTAAAAAATCTCTGCCCTACCAGCATAGCACTTTGGAAAAGGAAAATTTAGGAATTTCAAACCATTTTAATTATGTTATCTTTTTCTCCGGCATTTTACTTCTTATGTATAGGTTAGAATATGGCAGTTTTCACGTCTTTATGCCAAGGTTCCTTTCACAAGAAATAACTTTCTCATTTGGTACTATCCATAAGGAACAATTAACTGAGAATTTATGGGAACACCCTTAGGTAATTAGGTACATTTCAATCTTTTCACAGTTGTATTTTTACTGTACTCCTACATTAGTACATAAGAAAGCCAGTGTGGCTATGGAAACTGATCTATAACTACATGCTTAATTATAGCTTCTTTTTGTTTTGCTATCATTTCTTCAATTTTTACATAATCTCTATTTTTCACTAGAGACTAGTCACTAAAAGTCCAAACTAGCTTTGTTTTCATGTGACTGAAGGATGAAATGAAACTAAGTTGGGCTCTAAATTTTGGACAATGTCCTGGAGCTCAGATCTGCGATAACAAACTCTCACCTACAGTATCTCTGATGACCATTTCAAATCATTGTTGTTACTAGCTTCTTTTTTTCTTCTACATTATATAGAGACATATTTGAAACATGAACATCTTCATTTTCAACTCTTCCTGAAATGGAACTGTGGATACAACATGTAATCATTATCAAAGCTACTCCTATTTTACCAAAATATGGGATCTATAAATAAGCAAGAAGCGCTTCAACTTTCTATGCACCTGTAACTAAACCTGTATCTTCATCTTATCTCAGAAAAATAGTTCTTCCTTTGTCAGAAACCTAGTCTTTCTTGCTGTTTCCTCAACTCTACTCTCACTTGCTTAAGGTTTTACTCTATTAGTCGTCACATTTTATTTATTTATTTATATATTTTTAGATATAGTCTTTTCTGGTTACTTCTTGGTCTGGTTACTTAAATATTAATTTTTTTCCATTATATAAAGCATAATTAAAACTTTTGACCAAAACATGGAGGGGACGTAGAAGAAGTTGTTTCCACCATTTCTATCTACCTTTCAAGTTTCTCATATTCTTACTCCATTCATCTACAAAGGAATGGAAAATTCAACCTAAACCATTACATTTTGTCCATCAATGCACATTTAGTATTTATGATCTAAGTTTTAACTTTTATCAGAAAAGTATAGCTACTTTTAAGTACAAAATTCAATATATAAGTACTTCACCAGTCAACCTTGAGGTTTTGAATTCATCACCATTATTCCATTTTAACTCAAAGTTGTAAAATCACGATACATTTCAGATTGATTGGAAAATAATTACAATTTGAAAATGGCTTTCAAATTCCTTTATGCTATGCACTTACCTTCTTTATCCTAAATCCTATAAACCTGGGTGGGCCTAGAAAGCATTGAGCCCATCGCTTTTATTTTGTAATTGTGCGTTACAATCATATCTACTTCTTTTCACCAGATATACTTGCCAAAACTAACGTTTCATGACCCCAGTTTGGAAGTGCAATCTTTACTCTTGATTTTTGCATACCAAACTTTTCTAAGTTTTAATAAGTGTCCTTGTTTTACAAACATGCTTGTTGCTTCTAAAAAAAAAAAAAACCTCATAGAAAAAATGCTGACTCGGAGCGATGTTATCAACTTCAAGGACATAGAAACAAACCCAGGTCACTGAGAGACTAAAGGAAGCATGCTTTGGCACACATAAATTAAATGCATTTAAAAACCACTCCAGGATATACCTACAAACAGGTATTAGTAGGGTATATAGAAGCACAAATTCTCCTTCTCCAGATTTATTTTTACTAAAGGGAAATTGTGGGTGAACTGATGATAAACAGTTCTGTATTTGTAACACTATTCCTGCTTCTCACAATGACTCAGCTTTTGAATAATAACTCATGAATTTCAATAGTTTGTGACTATTCTATCTGTAAAATGTATAAGGTTCATGAATTTAAATCATCACACCAAATAGGAAGGAATACAAACTCAATTTACACAGCTGGAGGAAATTATACTCTATAGGGACAATTAACAATAATGTATTTTAGGAGTAATACATAAGCTGAAATTTTACCTGGTTTGGAAAGCTTAGCTCAGATAACATGAGCCAACAGCATATGCATATAGCTATAAAATAAAATTCGTAATAATTTAGACCATGTAAATGGTGGTGAGTGTGTGAATGAGAAAAGTAAACAGAAGAAAATTTGGGTCTCCAAATGAATATATTATTACACATTTAAAGTAGTGTAATGTTAAATAAGAAAGTAAAGGACGTCTTAATAGTCCAAATAAAGATATCATGTTTAAATATATATTTGACTATGTATGTACATATGCATGTGTTGTGTTTATATGTGTATGTATGTATGTTTCATGTACATGTATTTATCAACATACATACATGTGTGTGCATGGATTATCACTAAATATACTATAGTTTCCTTTAAAAAGTGACCAGATGCCAGTACTGCACAGTAGTACTTTGTTTTTTTGGCAATTTTGAATATCAACAAAATTAAGTCTTTATCTCTAAAAATGAGTATACATATTACCAAATTACTCACTTTTGGTTTGTACTCAAGTTTCACCATATAATTAAAATATTAAATAAAAATTAGTTCCTGAATTTTCAGATGTTTCATTTAATGGTCAATGTTAAATTTATACTGTTGGTTCATGTCCTTCTCAAAGTCACTGATAACTAAATCCAATAGAGATATCAAATATCATTTTATTACCATTCCCAATCCAGAAAAATTGTTTACTGTTATTAAGAGATAGGTAAAATAATACACATTATTTCTACTATGGTAAATTTATAGAAGACAAAAATTTAGGGTCACCAAAGAATTTATGAAAATCCTTCTACATTTATATTGCACTATCATATTTCTATTCTATAATTACATATGGAAGTAACAGTTTTCAAGACTAGAACATCTGTGTTACATATAAATTAATAACAAAGAAATGTGTGTCAATTTATAGTAATAAAGCTATCATTCTTATTTGCAATCACATGTACATGTCTTTTATTACAATTATAGATTCAATTTAGAGTATCTTCTGTGCAATTTCTGAAGTCTGAAAACTATGCTCTAACTTACCATCCATTTTTTATCCAACTGACTTACAAAATCCGATTCACTCTAACAGTCTGTGAAGCAAATAAAAACAAAGTATGACAACATTTCTTTAAGAAATCTGGTTAATTTCAATATGGTTTCATTCCACGATGCTTTATACACCCACATTGCGTTTTCTCTTTTCTACATGGAATTAAAAAATTGATGGGGTGAGCAATCTCTTGTTTCAAGCATCTTCCACATACAATAGTTAAGTGTCAAGCATTACTCACAGCTGACATGATGAGCTCTCCTCCCAGGTTCTGGATCTCAGCTTTCACTTGACTGCAGATTTTCAGTTGGTGAGAGTAGAACTTAATCTGTTCCAGGTAGGCCAATAAATCTTGCTTGCATGATGGATCTGGACACTAAATATTCATAAAAGATGAAAATGGGAACAGCAAAATCAATAATAAGCAGATCACACTGAATAAATATTGGCATTGCAGGTAACTTATAAGGGCATGACTTTACTTTCATTGAGCTTCATTTCTCAGACAGGTCATGCAGATTTCCATATGCTTCCAATCTTAGAAGAGTTTATTCATATTTCAAACTTCACAACTTCAGCATAACAAAGTCCAGATAAGAAAAGGCATATAAAGTAATTTCTTGATAAGATTAGAACCTTCAAATTACATTTTAAGGCAAATCTAAAGAGATATTTTAAAAGCAATTATTCTCTTCACCTCAAATTGCACTAGAATACTCTTAGGACCAGAACAGCTGCAATGTCTGTCTATGTTATTTAAAGGAATATAAAAATGCCTTCAATGAAAAAGTTTACTATGTTCTATTCCTTTTAGCATCTGATATTTCCAGCTATTACATGCAAAAGGAAATAATTTCATTTTATATAACATCTGGAGCAGAGAAATACATAGCATACATGTTTTATAATCACATTACATTTTTCTACTCAGAATATTGTCTTGCATTATATTATCAGCTGGAAAGAACTTCCTGAAGGACAGTTTTAAGCTTCAGCATAACACAGTGAATATGTGTGGTCACTGTTTACTCTTTTTGCTCTTTTTCCTATACAACCACAACAGTTTTTTTTTTCCTTTCTCGTAACATCATTTTCTACTTTAAATACATTTTTCACAAAGATACTGAAATATGGTTTTATACATGAATACCTTATATAATTGCAGAAAAATAGAAAAATTTGAAAATACTGTAACTGTCCTAATTTAATGGCAGCATTATATCAGATTATTCTACATAATGTGATATTGTAACATCTTATGAAAATAACATTTTCAAAGCATCTGGGAAAAAGCTTTTTGGAAGGTAAAAAAAGATTTAGTATTTAAAAATTGTGTATAGTATCTCAATAAAATTGTGTAAAACATGTACTTCTTTTAAAAATATAATGGGAAGTAAACACATGAAGATAATAAACATCTTATCAGTGATTTTCATTTCTCTTTACATATAAAATGCTATTATCAAAAACATCTTAATTCTAATGGATGGCTAAAAGTACACTTTAAAAGGTACAAACAATGACCAGAAAGAATTCTATGCACTTCTGCTTTTATCTAGTAATCAACAAGCTGGAGTTTCATTAGTTAATTACTGAGAATCTTATGTCTTTTAAAAATGCTAAATAGACGAGTCTGTATAGATCCAGAATGTGTGGATAGTGAAAACTTGAGTACAAGTTAATCGACGAAGATATTCAGAAATAAATTGTTCAGACTATATAGAAATGATCTGCTAGAGGAGCATGGCCATGTGAATGGATAATCATTTAGATGGACTATCAGGCAAGATAGAAGCCTTGACATTAGGAGTCATTTTCAAATGTTTTAATACATGAGAGCAGACTTCCCAGTCTCATCAACAGGACTGCATGTTAACTAAAGGATGAGGAAGAGGGGTAAGAAAAGGAAGAACAAAAAAGGAAGGGATTTCCTTATTTTACAAGTGGTAAATCAGAAATGCAGAGAACATAATCAAATTTCAGGATTGAAGCTAAACTGAATGTGGTTCATATTGAATTCCTATTGGACAATTTAATTCGCAATGAAGAACCCATATTGCAATCATACAAGTTTAAGCAAAATATGCAGTCCCTCTCAAAAAACTGTCTCCAGGCTTTAGTAGAAGAGATCAGAGATTTTTTAGGGCAAGAATGAATCAAAGGAAAAACATTGAAGACAACTTCTTGAGATAAAAAGTTGTTCAACCTACATTCCCCTGCATTTCCAGAATAGCTGACATTCTTGGCTATATTAAAAGATGGGAATTAGCTTAAAAACTGAAATAAAAAAAAATCTAATTGGTAAATTCCATGCTATAAAATTTATTAAAATCTGTCTTTTCTAGTGGCATTTGAAAAGCCTTTCTGAGTCACTTTTGCCACCTGAAAGCAGAATAAGGGTAATGAATCACTCTTGCTTTAAAAATTATCTTCTATTATTTGCAAACTTCATTAAAATCAATAATGGTTATCTAAGCTTTTATATTTTCCCATGGGATGATAGGAAAATTTATAGAAAAAATTTGCCCTGATATTTTCTAAATAATATTTGCCACTTATTAAGAGCTGTTGACTAGCAGATTTGCTTTGGTATTTAATGCACACTTTTTTTTTTTTTTTAAGTTTTATAACCATCATGACATTCACATGTGCACAGATTCCATGTCCATATAAGTGTCTTTTTTGCATCAAGTCTATCTTTCACTCTTCTGGTAAGGTACCTGATACTAGTAGAATACATTTAACAATGAGAGGAAAACAAAACAAAACAAAACAAAATTACCTTTCAGCTTAAATTTTAAGAGTTGGCAAACTGATACCTTTAAGCTGCTTGATTCCATAAGCTTGCCAATTAGTATTTTTGCCTAATGTGACTTTTATTTAAGCCACACTTATAATAACTTTCATAATTACCGACATTATAAATTCTGCTAAGCACGTGAGGTTTTAGGTGTCAGTTTGAATATTTACAATATAAATTTTGAGAAATCAGTGAGAGAAAAAGCACTCTGCATCCATGACCTTTCCCTTTCCTATGGGGCCCAGTTCTACCGGACTTCAATCAAGGTGCAGCCTCATTTCACTCTTCTAGGGTCACAGGTTATCAGTTATCCCATCTTATTTTTTATTAATTACCTATTTTTTTTTAAAACTTTGCTAACATTATCTCCATCAGCCTTCACTGCTGTAGTGCACCCACCACCAAATCGCCCATAACCCACCACATAGCCTACTGTGCTTCCTTCCATCTTTTCACCCTTTTCCCTGGCCCCTCCCCCACCTTTGGATGCTTCCATTTTGAAGTCCATTTTCCAGGGTAACCTTTTAAGGTTATCTTTTTCTGGTTCCTGGTTTAGTTTCTCTATATTTCATTTATCATTTTTCGATACTTTTAATGTCTCCTTTTTCTGTCCTTGAATCTCTCAACATAATTTCCCACAAAACCAATAATTTCTCCTCAACCCTGTAACACCATTTGTCTCTTCTTTACCAAGCATCTACAATACTGACACTATTGGTGTTCTTAGCTTTTGTTCATGGGCATATTGTCACTCTTTCTCTCTTCTTAGGCAATGATATACAAAAGGTGTTATTTATCACAAAACAGAAGTAACTACATTTCTATCATCTAGTGCTGCCTTGCAGAAATCCATACAGCTATTGCATTTGCTTGCTCATTTCACTGTCTCATCAGTAATTCATACTTAAAACACAGCCCTCAACTATCTCATACTCTCTGTATCTCATATTCATAAATCTTATAGTTGCCATTATAAAGTCTATATTTTTCTCATCCTATTACTATCTCAATGAAAACCTTTCTTCTCTGCTCCCATCTGTTAAATTGACCCTGTACTTAATTTGAAATTATTCTATACCTAGAAATCTCATAGTACTTTCAATGCTTCTTTCCTTATCTATCACTGCTAGTTTTGGCAAGCTGAAGTTTCTAAAACACAGATTTGAAAAGGCATATAGGAGACTCTCATAAGAAATTCACGGATATTCTTGCAACTCATAGAGGACAACACTGACTCCTGTATAGATTGGCCATGCTAACTTGTGAGAGCTACATTTGAAAACCTATAGTGTGTGGCATCTTTTACTTCTAAATGTTCACAAATTATACATGCTATTCAAATTTAGTCCTCTGTTCCTATTTAAACAAAAAGTTTAATCTAAGTTTGTCTTCTTTTCACAAATTGTTTTAAATTTTTTGATTTATTTTGGACACAAAAATATCGAGAACACACTAAATAAGCATATCCTTTGTTTATTTTTTCAATTTAATTGTATGATTGAGGTAAAGTTGGTTTACAACATTGTATATAATTGAAGGGTACAGGTTCACATCTTTTCAGATTCATGTTGCCACAAGACACTCATTACTCATGTCCCAATAATCCCTCACAGTAATCCATGGGGTCCCTTACTTCTTTGCTCCCTACCCTCCAGCCTCCCCATCTTCTATATTCAATTCCATAGACAGTCTTCTAAGGTTTACTTTATCTTAATTTTGTGTTCCTTTGCTTTCTGCTTTCTTTCTTTATATTCCACATATGTATAAAATCATCTCATATGTTTCTTCTTCTGACAGCAATATAGCATGGCTTTAAACTGGAGGTTATTATATTAAGATGCAAACCGGTCAAATATTGTCTCTTATATCCCTATTTCCTGAGAATCCTCTATGTATTTTTATAAAGTAAGGGGTAATCTTTCTTTTCTTTTTATATTACTCTGGAAGGCAATTGTGGATATCAATCTCTCTCCTACAGGTAGGTTTCTTAGAGATAATACTATCAAAATACTATCTAAATACAAGATGTATTTAGAAATTATATGCTTAGAGATATGTTAGAATGATATAGTGAATGCTTCAGAAGTTTCTTTTTAGAACAATTTTATCATAATTCTTTCTTTATTCTCATAAAATCAGTAGGGGATCAACTCAAATGAGGCTAGCTACTGACAATATCTTAGTGAAATATCAGTATAAATTATGCTTGTAGGTTGCTTGTTCATAGTTGAGTAAATTGTTTATGACTTGGTTTATAACTCTATCTTGTTTTCAAAATGCCATCTTTTCTTCTGTTACCACTAGCTTTAGTATTTTATATTGAAAAGTTATTTACATTCATGTTCATTTTTTAATATTGATTTTTTTATGCATACAGAATTAGGGTACAGGTCAAAGGTGCAGGAGCAATGAGAGGATTCACCAGAGACAGAGAAGGGAGAAGAACAGGCTGACTGATGAAGTACACTGTTGAGGGGAGCAGCGGGCAGGTCAGGAGAGGCCTGCAACGCCATGTGGTCACCTCCCTGGCAGGCTGTGTTGAAACTCATGCTGAAGTGTCTTAGTGCTGTGCTTTAACCTGTTGCACCACCAGGGAGGGCCCTCATATTCACTTTTTATAAGTAGGTGATTTTGATTAATACCCAATTAATAATCTGGGTATCTTTGGTAAAATTACCATGAAGGAAGATTCAGGTTCACATTTACAATCCAGGTGTCAAAAAGTTTGATTGTTTTCCTTTCCTTGTGCAAATCACTTTAGCTAATGTTAATTTAACTTTAACTTCTGTTTTTTTTTTTTGGCATGCACTGCCTCTGTCAATGAGAACTTTCTGTGTATCACTCCTACCTTGTGACGTTATTACCGAGCTCATCTAATTGAAAATATCTGCTAACATGATAAATTACAGGATAGCATTGAGGAATAGACAAACTATCTACCAAGAGTTTGGAATCTTGAATTAGTATGCAGGGTAATTCTCTAACGTGTTACTTATTTATTCATGACACAAAGTTTTAAGAAGTATGATTGCTAACAATATACTCTCCTTTATTATTATGCTGAATAATGAAGTCAACGTTGACACTAGAATTCCACAGGGCCTAGAAAATCCCTGAATGAGATATATATTCCAAAACACCATCTCAAGACAATTTTAAGTTGTTAGGTCATTAAGTATTAGGGGATGGGCCCTCCCTGGTGGCGCAGTGGGTTAAAGCACAGCACTGAGAAGCTAAAGCCACTTCAGCATGAGTTCAATTCCCGCCTGCCCCGGAGGTGACCACATGGTGTTGCAGACCTCTCCTGACCCGCACGCTGCTCCCCTCAGCAGTGTACTTCATCGATCTGCCTGTTCTGTTCCCCACTCTGTCTCTGGTGAAGCCTCTCACCGCCCCTGAGCCTCTGGCCTGTACCCCAGTTCTGTATGAATAAATAAATCTTTAAAAAAAAAATATATATATATATATATATATATTAGGGGATGAAGACAATAGGATCATGTTAGAGTTCTGGCTATTAAAACAGCTGCTTTTAATATATCTTTTCTAGCTAGCTAATGGCAATGCCAGAATTGTGACCTGTACATGGTCACAAACAATAATCATGTGTATTAAGCAATTCAGGGGAGAAAAATTGAAAAGAAAGAGTCCAGTCGGGTAGAATTTTTATCTGATTTCATTTCATTCTCATTACATATAAATTCTTAAAATTTACAGAATGAAAGTAAATTGGGCTAATACTGTGTACTAGTATTAGTACATGCATGTATTAGTGTATTCAACACATATGAGGTTCTTAGGTAGAACTCAAAAAGCCAATAATGTTTGACTTTTATACATCTTACTAAAAAAATCAACTAAAAAGCGTCATAAAAATTGTTTAAAAATTTGGAACTATTGGATGATTTATAAAATTGTCTTCAGATGATGTTTTGGATTATATATCCCATTCAAAACCATATTTTCTAAGTCCTGTGGAATTCCAGTGTCAATCTTGACTTCATTATGCAGTATAATAATAAAGGAGAATATATTGTAGCAATCACACTTCTTAAAACTTTGTCTCATGAATAAAGAGAGCATTAAGTTAGAGAATCACCCTGCATATAAATTCAAAATTCCAGAATCTTGATTTATAAAAGCAACCAATATTCTGACAATTATTTTCATAATATATGTGGACACCAATCAAAATCACATTGCTCACACTATTCCATTTCATGCCACAATAAATTTCAAATATTATTTCCTAATACTTTTGCTTTACCCTATGCATTTTGAATAATGCTAACAACAAAGGCCTTCCTTAAATAATAATCTATAGTATAAAAATATCCAGAATGAGAAATCTGATCCAATTAAAGAATATCAGTGTATGAAAAAGTACTTCCAAACCACACAAATATGTGAAATTGAAAATTATATGGTCCTAAATAAATAGAAGCACAATGGTACGAAACATTAAATATCATAAAACTTAGTGCACATAAATCTGTCCAATGTATTACGGGTTTACTTATTATGCCACTACTTATTTAGTCTTTCTCATAAAATTGAATGCAATAAAATTCCAAAATATGAAAGTCATGGTGGATTTGGACTTCATTCACTTATTCCCAGCAGATTTTGAATTATATTATGACAACACTCATTTTAACTGCAAATGCTAAATACTAAAATATTAATAAAATGTTTACAGTGCTTAAAGAACCTACAGTACTAAGAACCTAAAAATGATTTTAAAAATACCTGGCTCATTATTATTACAGAATTTTCTTCCTACATACAGAAATACAGTATCTAATAGGAGAAAGAAATTCATGTTCCAAGAAAAAGAGGATAAAAGGAGTGATAATAAATCACATAATAAAATTTCCCTCAAAATATAACAGCTATAAATAATACCAAATCACTGTGAAGTTATAAGAAAAATGCTTTTCAAAGGGAGATAAAAACAGATGAATGGATTAAGAAGATGTATATATAGACAATGGATTACTGCTCAGGTATAATAAAAGATGAACTCTAGCCATTCACAACCACCTGGATAGAACTGGAAGGAATAATGCTAAGTGAAATAAGTCAGGAGAAATAAATGCCATATAGTTTCACTATCTCTGAAATATAGAGAAATAATAATAATAATAAAATGTTACACAGAAACAAAGCAATAAGAAGCCTGGATGTTGACTATGGCACTGTGGCTCCCAGAGGGGGTTTTGGAGAGCAGGGTGTAGTGAGGGGCAAATGGACTGTGGCAGAGGACTATGGGTGCCTTGGTGGTGAGTGTGCTCTCTAATACATCTGGGAAAGTATGTGCCGATGGCTGAATCAAATACAGTGTTGCAAACCAATGATACCTCAATTACAGAAAAAGGAAAAAGTTAAGTGCTTAGAAAATTTTTTCAGCAGTGTCTACAAGTATTTACTTCCTACACTTCCTCAATATCTTCACTTTGGTATTCTACTAGTTACTATTTGCCTTGCAATTTTATGTAGAATTCCAGACAGAACCACCAACAAAAGGATTCCAACAATGTTCATTTCTGAAGAACAAAAACAAGAAACTTAAGGTATTTAGGGTAAAAGATACTGACATTCGTCCTTACAACAATAAAAATCATTGGAATATATTTGAAATGCCAAAATCTTATATTTAAAATAATTTCAATATATCTTAAAGTATTTGAAGCTCAAAAATCTGAGAAACATTCGAATCCTAAATAATAAAAAATAAAATATTAACTCCTACAAAAATAAGCTTCATTAAAGTGATGTGGCCACTACTTACATATTCATTATACAACACAACTTCAATATAATTCAATAACTATTTAGGAAAAACTGATCCCACAAAGTAAAAATTCAGTTTTGCTCCAATCAGTATTAATTGGTAGAGAAATTCACATGACTTTTCACCACCCATTTGTAGAGCACTCACCTGGTTTGCAATCTGACGAGCGAGAACATCCATCCTTGATCCCGATTCTGATATCATTTTAGCAGCATAAATCACATCAGTTGTGTGCTTCAGTGGCCCTTTGCCCCTTAATGTAGAAGAACACATGGTGCAGTGTTTGTTAAAAGAAGTTTCTCTTCTATTTCTACACGTACACAAAATCAGACTCAGGCACAAGATAAACACACAGCACACATACTGACTGAAGCCTGACTTTCCACACGTCAGTTTTGGATAGGATCCAATGAAACACCAGTATTGCATATAAAATAGAAAAAGAAAAAAGAAATCCTGTTGATGGTTATGATTTATAAATGCTGCTAAGACGACAAACTCCATTTAATATTAATTCCCAGGTTTTTTACAGTAGACCTTAGCTTAGAGATATTCTTTGTAGATATAAATTATAGATTCTAGGAGGAAACACAATTCTACAAATTAAATATGCTTAACAGTATAATTTGATCAGAAGAACCACTTGTAATCTTTTAATTTTCCATAGTCCTTTCATTACTTGTATATTTTTAAAGATATTTATTCATGCATGAAAACCTGCGGTACAGAATAGAGATGTGGGGATAGGAAGATTCACCAGAGACAGAGAAGGTAACAGAACAGGCAGACTGACTGAAATACACTGCTGAGGGGAGCAGCAGGAGGAGAGGAGAGGTCTGCTGTGCCAAATGGGTCAGCTCCCTGGCCAGGGATTGAACTCATGCTTCAGTGGCTTTGGATGTCTTCATAGTGCTGTGTTTTAACCCGTTGTGTCACCAGGGAAACCCTACTTGTAATTCATTTTTATCACATTCTCTTGTTCAGAATTAATATATTATAATTGTGTATGATGACTCCCTAGTGGTGCAAGAAAGGGGTTAAGTCTCAGCGCTACAAAGCTATGGACAGCCACTGCAGCAGGAGTTCCATCCTCCGGTGGGGAGCAGACCCACATGGTGTCTATCTCACCTGCTCCTCCCCTCTTTAGTGTATTTCAGTCAGTCTACCTGTTCTGTTCCCCACTCTGTCTTTGGCAGATCCTCTCACAGCCTACACCTCTGGCCTGTACTCCAGTTCTTGTATGCAATATAGATAAATCTTGAAAAAAGAAAGTAACTGAGTATGAATCTGGAGTGTCACTGTCCTAGATTGTTTTCCACATCAGATAACATCTTAAACTGAATAAATCAAGCAAGATAAATACTGATTCTGTGCCCCCATTCCTCTGTAATAGTACCACCAGCCACAGGGGACATTCAAAACATTACATTTAGTTAATTTCTACAAAGCACTCTGAAGATGCATAAAATAAAGTAGGCATTGAATAATATTACTTGTTAATGGGAGGAGGGGTAGTGACTATTTCAAGACAAGTTTGGTTCCTAATGGCTTGGAATAAAAAAAAAACAACTGGGGTTTCTTTATGGATTTTGTAAGTATACAAAAAGAAATTCAAGTCTTAATTTTGGGAGTGGGATTCATAAAAGAGATATTTTTCTAACTTTTTTTTTAAAGATTTGTTTATTCATACAGAACTGGGGTACAGGCCAGAGATACGGAGGGTGAGAGGATTCACCAGGAGCAGAGTGGGGAGAAGAACAGGCAGATGGACGAAGTACACTGCTGAGGGGAGCAGCGGGTGGGTCAGGAGAGGTCTGCCATGCCATGTGGTCACCTCTGGGGCAGGCGGGGATCGAACTCATGTGGAATTGGCTTAAGGTTCTTAGTGCAGTGCTTTAACTGGTTGCGCCACCAGGGAGGGCCCACTCCTCTTCTTTTTTAAAGATTTATTTATGCATATAGAACTGGGGTACAAGCCAGAGGTGCAAGACCTGTGAGAGGATTCACCAGAGTCACAGCAGGGAGCAGAACAGGTAGATTGACAAAGTACAACACTGAGGGGAGCAGTATGTGAGGCAGGAGAGGTCTGATGTGCCATGTGGGTCACCTCCCTGGGGGGGATCACACTCACACCTAAGTGGCTGTGGGGGCCAGCTTCTCAGTGCTGCATTTTAACCTGCTGTGCCACCAGGGAGAGCCCCTCTACCTTCTCTTTGCCCAAAATAAATAAGAAATGATTAACAGAATGAATGACACCATTTTATCTAACTAAAACTGTCCCTCTCCTCATTTCTTTACATTCAATATTTTACCCTTTGCAGAACACTGACTGTTCCAACTAGTTGGCTCGTGTTCCTCATCCTTAGCTGATAATGGGACACTGAGAAATTACTGACTAAAGGGATTTTTTTTTTTTTTTTTTTTTTTTTGCCAGGGGAGCAGGGGACAAGAAGAAGAAGAAAGAGGAATATGCTGTTTAAGTGAAAAAAAATTTTTTTTTGAGAGGTCAAATTACAGTGGCATTAGAAAAGAAGGGTGATGGAAACAAGCTTTCTCCATGGCTTCTTTATACTGTGAGCTGCTTTTGAGGGTAGATACCCCAATGTGAATCTGGCAAGATTTGTTACTGGAAGAAAATCTGTTCATTAAAGATGTACCAAGCATGGTATTCATGCAAAACTAAGTGATCAGAGTATTTAATACTTGAAAACCAAAACATCAAAATGTGTGCGCCCTTATCCCCAAAAGCTGTTTCATTTTACTTTTCCATGCTGTTTCTCAAATTCATCACAGGCAAGTTTCCCTATTAAAATGGAACAGCATGTTTAACACAATCAATATCTGACATGTAAGATTTTTGTCATCATATTTCTTCACTTTGAATCTGCTGACACAGGTTACTTTATAATTTGTTTAAAAATCAACATTAATCATAATAATGTTTGAGTTGCTCTTATCAAATTTACCTTATGCATGAGGCAAGGCTAGATATTATGTACATGGTTATGCTCAAGATGGAGCTGCATTTCATTATTACCATGCATCTCCATAGAAAGTTAAACTTAAATAAAGCTGTTCCCAAATGGCAATGCATCAATTTCAAGGTCTCAAACAATGGACAAAGGTACTTTCCAAGGACAGCATCTAACACTTTCTTAGCTTAAACAATAGACAAAGAGTTACATCTAAAGAGCACAACTAATGTACTCTTCCCCTCAAAATAATATATTCCCCATATAAAAACCTTGGGCTGATGAAAGGAAAATTATTTCTAGCTTTAAATATCTGTCATGCTATGAGACCACTATCTTCACAACATGTAGAACTTAAAAGTAGCATTAATATGTTATGATACACAGCAATTATTCTCTTCCTCACCTTTCTAATTAAATGTATTGCCTGGCCAGCTTCCTAGTGAGTGCCAAACAAAATACACATTTTACAAATGACTCCTTATCATGCCAAGCTTCCAAAGGAAGCTACAATTACTGAAACTATGATAAATTTTTAACACTCCTCAGCCTGAAATGTGCTATGTAATGAAGGCTTTTTAAATTGGGAAATGCATTCAAAGGTTGTTTGCACCTTCATTTTCATAATGGGTCTCAGGATCGACAGTCAGCAAATTGTGTCTTAAATCACTGAGGTCGGATCCTACAGAGAAAGATAACCCAGACGAGAGCAGAAGTAAACTCTGCAAACGTTTTAAAAAAGCCAGATGCCAGGAATCTGTAATAATTAGTGCTTGCAATAGCAATCTATTTCTCTAAAAAGGAGTGCAGATCAAGCGGTGGCACAGTCTGCTGATAAATCATTAAATTATAGATTAAAAATATAATGGGAAAAGCTGTAACAACCCAGAGATGTTGATGTTATGGAAAATTTAATTTTCGGCAAGTAAATAAAAGGGATACCTGTGAAACTTATATATGTTGGTGCAATGTAAGCATGCAGCTATTTTGACAATGCCTCAACCTTGGCTCTCACTGGGCTCCATGACCTCACTCCCATCTGGAATCCACTTCTCCCTTGTTTTCTCTTTTTATTAGCACAAGAAATAAGATGGTGTCTATGCCTAGTAAAAGCTCATTAAACCAGGATTAATAATAGGAAGTATCAGACAATTTCATTGCTTTATTTTGTCTTGCACAGACAGAGAATATCCACGCAATGATTTGTTATGTTCTGCTATAATGAAAATCAAAGCAAGAAGTTTACTTCTAGATTTGTATTTCGTAGGCCCTAAATCTTTGAAAACATAATATTATTCCCTTGTTAAAACCAAAAACTTTCACTGAAACCTCTGTTCTTTGGTATTTTTATATATTGATATTTTTGTCTTTAATATACTCACATCTTTGATATGTCATTACATTATATAATGATATGTATATTTACATCCTTAGGTTTCACTTATCAGATAGCATTAATGATAGCATATATTTTGTTTCATAATAATAAACATACTTGGCATTTCCTACATACTAGGCAATATGCCATACAGAAACTCATTTGATCATTACAATAACCTTATGAATTTAGAATTATCTTCACCTCACAGTCAAGGGAAATGAGGAAGAGACACGAAGAAAACCCTGCCCAAGTTTTGCAGCTTGTAAAAGAGAAATGATTTGAACTAGGCAATTTTGTATCCCAGTCAAGTTCACGTTTAACGACTATTCTATCCTACTTCCAATAAGACATAGAGAGATAAATTAAAACATTTATAAGATCTCCTTAGGCATTGATGGGGTTGCCAGGAATGCAAGAGAGAGAAAGATGAGGTCCATTAAATGGATCAACTTGACCACACACAACCTCAAAACACAACCTTAATCGGTGTTTCAATGCCCACAAAATAAAAATGTGCTATTTTACGTGCACGTTTAAACTCACGACAAATGGTTGCAAAGGCACAAGTCAGTTATAGTTCTGGGATTTCTTTTTTTCTTTTGATTTTTTTTCCTTTCACATTTTTCTAATATCTTTCCTTCCTCCCTTCCTTTTCCCTGAATTCTAAGCACTAAGCTTAAATTTAGCAATTATGTGCCATATTAGACAGATGATTATACTTTGATGCTTATTTATTTGTAACAGGTTTTTATTTTTTTTCTGTGATTGTAGTTTAAACAGTTATTTACTCAATTCCAGTACTCAGATGTAGTGCTGCAGTGAGTCTAGTGAAATGACCATGGACCTGGGAAATACACTTTATCTGCAGAACAACATTGCTGCCTATTAGCTATATAGCCT